CCCGGGGTTACAGACTGCTGTTACTGAGATAAGGATGGGGGATGCTGCCTGGTTGTCATGGTGACGCTCCCTGTAGGGATGTTTACGTGTGCACCGGTGGGGGGTTTGTCTTGGCAACATCTTTACAGAGCAGCTACCGTCTCTTCTGTTGGACAAAAGGCTGCTCAGCAACTTGAACCAGGACATTTTAAATTGCTGTAATAAATTAAAACGTATCTTTAAAAATGATTATTCTTGACTCAACCAGTGTTGATCCTCCTGCTGATCCTGCTGATCCTCCTGATCCTCCTGTCCAGCAGTGTGGCTGCAGAACGTCGGGCTTTTGTTGAAAGGAAATATCACAAATTAGTGTTTGTTGCAGAGAAACGTCAACATCCAGGATGAATCAGATGAACAGAAAGTGTTGCGTGAGAACGAGGCTCCGTTTATGATTCATGCTAAGATCAGTGCTTTAAGCTCGTGTCGCTGCTGTCAGCGTTATATCCCACGAAGAACGCATGAAAACATTTTTATTTTAAGTCGAGAGCTTCAAAGGTGCTTTAAACTGATAAAACGCTGACCTGACCCAGTTTAAACTGGTAATTATGGGTCCGGATCAAGTCCCTGAGAGCGCTCCATGTTCAGGGCATGAATGTAAGCTAGCTAGCTCGAGGCTAATTAGCGTACAGGTACACAGGTGTGCTGTTAAATTTATTACAAAGTGTTTGTTTTCACAGGAACTGGTATTTTGGTTTGTTTTTCAGCGCGTAACTCGTTCCACAACTTTTTTCAACAGTCTGTAAATCAAGTCGTTCAGCTCGTGAGTGTCCGCGCAGGAAGTGGCGTTTCTCCAGTTTCAGTCCGGGTCGGACCAGGACGGGACCAACGGGTCTGCAGCTGGAGCGTCAGTGACTCGTTTCTCCGGTGAACACGTCCTTTTCACCTTTTAGCTGATTTTAACACGACGAATCAGCTAAACGATGTCCCCATCGAACACAGCTGCGTCTGGTCCTCGTGCCGACACCGAGTCGGGTCCATCAGAACCAGACTGACTCTGGATGTTGAAAATGTGGCAGAATTTGTTGATTTGTGAACCTGTTTCTGGACGAGTCCACGTGATGCGTCACGCTCTTCGGTTAGTTTGCTTTCTGTGTTTTTACAGGTTAGTGCTGGAAACCTTCCTCTGAGGAGGAGGAGGAGGAGGAGGAGGACGCTCTGTCCTCCACACTCGGATGTAAATTCAGATTGGAAATGTTTTTGGCTCAGGAGGTGTTTGAGACGAGAGCTCCGTCCTGATTGGACTCTCAGAGATGAAGATGTTCTCCATCGGCTCTGATTAGCTGATTTGCTGCAGCCCTCCTCAGTCTTCATTATTCGGCTCGTAGTTCATCTTTATTCCTCCTCGTCCTCCTCCTCAGCTGCTCGCACACAAACAGAGCTGTTTCTGGGTCACAATGACTCTGTATGAATAATAAACAGCTGTCTGCTTTAAACGACGTTATTTATAGAACGAGACGCGCTCGTTTTATAAAACTTTCTTCTTTTGATCTCGTGCCGTTGTCTTTATTATGTCATCTATTCATTTACAGACAAAAACCTGTTAAGCTAATATTTTTTTATCAGTGGGGATAAAAAATAACTACAAACGCCACGTAAAATGGACGAAATGTCACTTTTAAATGTCATCGTACAAAACTGAGGTCAAAATGTGGGAAAAAATAGAATACAAGAGATTTGTTGATGCCATTTGTAACCTGGAGGGGGCGGGGCTTATGATAGGAAATAGAGCTAGCCACCAGGAGGCGGGGCTTAGTAGTGGGTGTGGAGCCAGCCACCAGTGGGTGGAGCTTATGATTCAGTCTGTGTCCAGCAAATAGCGGGGCAGGGTTATGATACAACCTGGAGCTAACCACCAGGAGGCGGGGTTTATGATATGACCGAGAGTTATCCACAAGGGGCGGGGCTTATGATACAATCTGTATCCAGAGGGTGGGAGTTATGTTACAGCCCGGAGCCAACCACCAGGAGGCGGTGCTTATGATACAACTGGGAGCTAGCCATCAGGGGGCGGAGTTTATGATCTTTAGCCAGCTGTGTGTGGGGGGGATGTGGGGTCAGAACCAGATGCAGGAAAGAAACACGGAACCAAACCAGTTATAGCTTCTTTTTTCTGATGACCAAGAGCAGTTAGCTGTGGCAGCCATCTTTATTGGGTTTGATTCCTCATGTTGATGAGTTTTATTGCACATCCGGTGGTCACGCTCGGACAGTTTACTTAAATTAATAATAGGAACGCACAGAGACGTGTTAGAATATTGTTGCCTCCTTCTGAACGTCTGGCTGCTCAGATTTAAAAGCCCAGTTTGTTATTAGGCTTGTCTCGGTTCTGTCAGTTTATCCTAACAGAACCAGGTAAACACATCGGGTCGGAGCGTAAACAGTTTGAACAGACCCGGCCAGGGCGACTCAGCAGAAACAGGAAGGCGATTCGAGGTCAGCAGGAAGTCAGACAGACTGATCGGTGTGAGGTCATCTGGACCGAGCCCGGATGGTAATCCTCATCACAAACACACGGGTCTGCACATCAGACTTTCTTCAGATTGGACCCTTCAGTCAGATTAGTGCAGCGACAGCCCGACCGGGTTTTATATTTCTGGACTTCCTGAGTCGACCGTGACCTCAGAGACGCAGATTTATGATGTCCAGCTCAGACAAATGAGCTTTATTAAATATTTTAATTAAAAACATTTTCCAAGAGAAAAGAAAAACATTCACAACACAGATTAATAAAAGGCAAAACCCATGAGATGATAACTGACACTCAGAACCAGGATCGATCCGCGTTTTTATTAACGACAGCAGCAGGAAGCTTTGGAGACAAAAAGGAGTTTGTGAGAATCGATTGCATGGTTTTGTTTCTCTGTTAGCAAAATATCTCACTGGATGTCCATTTTATTTTATTGGATGCACATCTACAGCTGATCAACCTGATTCAAGATGGCCGCCCGCCACAGCTGCTACACCTATAAAACGTCTATGATTCATTTGTACAGAGATTTAGCTCAGATCTGGTGTAGTAGTAGCTGAGAGTTCCTTCAACAGATATCTCGAGCTCCAACAGATCAGACAACATGTATTCCTCTTGGTTTTATTCATAAAAGTCATCTTCAATGATTCGCTGCTTCCCAAGTTTAATCTGAGAGATTGGAGGGAAATTTCTATGAACCCCAAAGTGTTGACGAACACCCCCGATGGGTTTTAGGCAGAAATTTAACCATAAACGTCAAAATCAGATCAGAAAATCACGTCAGAGTGAGAAACACCGTGTTTGAGTTTCCAGATACACCATTCCAGGGAACGTTAATAAACTGATGGGATTAATAATTCCAGGAGCGACGTGGGAACAGATTTCTTTCCTCTGACTCGCGCTGTGGGGGTTAAACTTTTACAGCAGTTAGCAGAGGGGTGCTCGTAAAGATGTCCTTGTGGTATGTGTGATTGTTTTAGATGTTCCTGATGAGGTTCTGATCGTGTCCCTCCTCTGTCTCCACCAGGGCTCTGTACACGTACGAGGACGACACCAACGACCTGACCATCTCTGCGTCCGGAGGTATGCCTGCGCTCCTCACGTTTCACTCTCATCCTCTCCATATGTTAACGAGAACAGGAGCTGCAGCTGTAAAACCCGACCAGTTCCTCGGGTTCTGTTACCGAGCCGTCGGATTCAGTGACGTTCAGTTTATTTACACTTTGCAAATTCATAACAAACATCGTCTCGTTGCACGTTATAAAATTATAAATGACCTGTCTGAGGAAACCAGCGGGCTGCGTTGAATCTTCGTTTCATCATAATCTCATCCTGAGCGGCGTATTGGTGACAGTGGGAAGGAATAACTCTGTTTTAACAGGAAGAAACCTCCAGCAGAACCAGAACCAAGCTTAGATGAGCAGCCATCTTCCTCGATTGTCCCTTCCCTGTCCTCTCTAATGCCAGCCAGAGAATCCCTGAAGTCGAGTTGTGCTTTGCTTCTGTCTCAACTCTCATCGGACCTGCACCGCAACATTTAAGGGCCTGCCCACTGCCGGTACCCACCCCCACTCAACCCCGTTTGTGGGACCGCCTGGTTCTTGGTTCCAAGTGGACTGCTCGGAGGGACGATTTTGACGTAAACAGACAGCAGCCGTTGATTGGCCAGTGGAGCTACGTCACCAGCTGCCCCGCCCAGTTAGTTTGTTTTTTCTAGTTTCTTGTTTGGTATGAAAGCTCCTATCATAGTCCCGTTGACCAGTGACGAGGTCCAGACCTTTCTGTCTTTAATAGCGGATCAGAGGATTCAGTGCGAGCTGCACGGTGCTACAAGATACGAGCAAATTTATTGAGATGGATGATGGTGCAGCATGGCTACACCCGGACCTTTAAGCAGTGCTAGAATAAGCTAAAACATTTAAAATCAGAGAACAGTTACGATACCACTCACTTTACAATGACGAACCTGTCCACAGAACGAGAAACGAGTCACAGAACGAGGAAACGAGTCACGGAAACGAGTCACAG